GAAATTCCTGGGACACCAAAACTTAATCACGGAATTAAAGCCTCTATAAGGATTGAACTTATGATATTTAATTAGCCGCGCGCAATTTGGTCCGCTTAAACTTGTAAATATATATCTCAGTATTTTTCAAAAGCGTCATTCTGCATGATGATGACTGAAACCTAGTCGAAACGTTGAGGAGTGCCTATTGTTTTATTTATTTATTTAGCTTTGCCAACTAGGGCAGCGTCACCACAACAGCATATGCCAATTACTGTGGGCCCTTTTTTACCTAACCCACCCTGTCAACTTTCCCTGTGGGAGGAAACCGGAGTACCCGGGGAAAACCCACGGCTTTCGGCAGAGCGTTGGCTTTTACTCTTTTCACATGGGGACTGGGTTCGAGTCGCACTGAGAAGGTACTTAGTGAGACTCGAACCTGCAGCCTCAGAGGTGAAAGGCAAGTGCGCTAACTACTTGACCACCGAAGCCCCTTTTTGTTCTTTTTAAAATTACTCAATGGCAACCGTAATTTTTTGCCCGACTTGATATTGTCATATAGTGTTCGTTATTTCTAAATTTTTGTTCTCTTCTACGTTTAGTGACATGTCATGGAAATATGGTTAAAAATGGCAACATCACTGTCCAAAGATCAGTACATAGTTATGGTGGTCAAGACTGCATCGTATACCGTGAATTGTCTGCCACAAAGACATGTGGTTTGACTGATGATTATAGTTGTGAAGTTGATGTGACATGTCTTTAATTAAGAAACAAAATGATGGTCAACATGAGTGTAATATAACTGTGATGACAACTTTTTCTCTGGTAATCAATGTCCTAGATTGACAAAAAACATCAATGTATTGATTGGCACACAAATTTCGTTTAACTCACTTTGACCCGCGATTTTCCAAAACCTAATCAATTGAGCTGGAATTCGAATATTGGGAAATAGAATATAATCTAGCGGCCGTATCTACATTGCAGTTCCTCATTACTCGCTGCGACTTGTGCCCAGGCGAGTATAGGTTTCGGCATCAATTTCCAATCTCCGATCGTCGATAGCCACAAAATAGAATATTAATGAGCTGCCTAATAAACCCAATTTATCCTTTTCAAAATGGCCGCCTTTCGTGGAGTGGGCAAAATGTTTCAAACAATTTCGTTAAAATTTTCAACGAATTGTACCGATTTTCTATGGATTTTGCATTGTGTCTAACTCTGGGCATTTTTGCTAGTTTAGTTAATGCATTTTTCTTGGTGCACGACTCTGAAAATCCGAAATTTGGATCTTTGAATGCCCGTGCACGATCATAATATATTGAATCTGATTATAAACGAGCGAAAGACAAATTGCAAGGTTATAACTTAAACTACACAACGTAGTTTTAATGGATAACTACTTCATGAGAAGCATATTAATTGGTGTCATATCAATGTAAAATTTATGCAACAACAGTCCCTAATACTGAGCTGTGGAGCAGTGGAACGTGAAAACTGTAGTGTGAAATATTATAGTGTAATGCCTAATGGCGCCGATAAGGAAAAAAATACAATTGTTCGATTAAGCGATTTTACGGATGTCAAATGTATTACTAAACAACAGTATTCTAGCGATTTATGGCCTTTGAAAATCAAGCGAAATTGTATTGTTGACAAATCGCTCGCAGTACGTTTGTCTTTGTATTTGTAATCAGGCCTATACCTAATGGTGCAATAAGGATAAAAATACCACCGTTCGATTCAACGTAAGCAATTGTACTGTACTTACGGATGTCAAATGTACAGGGTGTATAAAAAAAAGGCTAGTCTTTGAAATTCAAATTAGTCATATTGTATTGAATTTATAATTACTGCTAATCAATTAGCGAGCCGTAAAACAAAAGATTTTCTACTTATGGGGAGATATACTATTGCTCGAGTCAGGACTCGAGCCAGGACTCGAGCCAGGACTTGAGCCAGGACTCGAGTCAGGACTCGAGTCAGGACTCGATCAAAAAATGCGAAAATACGGGAAATTGCCATTACCCAATGTTTTGTTTCATAAGACACGTTACGCAGGCTGGCTACTACAACCTTTCAATAATTACGTTAATCACCTTGTGTAATTTACCAATGAGAGCGAGGTTCCAAGACCAAAAAGTATGTGTAATTATCGAAAGGGTGTATTTGGTAATACAGTTAGCCAGCGTGGCCGGCTCTTCTATAATACAGTTTGGTGATATTGGCGTCTATTACAGGAAAATAAGACAGGGAGAATTATCCTACTATTTGACGAACGCTAAGCGGCAATGAGCGGCAACAAGTATCTGTTTTGTAAAGAGCGAGAGACTGCTAGTGATGGGAAATACCAACTGTTTTAGTTCGATAAAATACTGGCCGGATATTTCCATTTTTTGGATATCAATATTTGTGCAATATGGCAAAGACAAACAACAACAATGGGATTGACTATTGTTTCATTCACTGTCTTCCGACGCTAATAACCGTTACAGTTAGGGGCCGATTACATGGAGCATTTTCAACCCCGGGGTTGAACTCAGCCCTGTTTACTGGGTTGAAATTTCAGCCCTGTCTGCAATACAAAACTCTATCAAAATCAAATGCGCGAATACATGACAAAATTTTCAACCCAGGCCGGCTGAGTTCAACCCCGGGGTTGAAATTTCAACCCTGCTTCAGCTAGCAACCCAGGGCTGAAATTATAATGAGTTATTCGAGCATGTGTGGTAGTGACTATTTATTACAAGAAAACAAAATCAAGGTTTTTTTACTTCCGCGAATCCATGCCGAGAACATATAGTATAACGTTTTAACCCCAGGGTTGAAATCGTCCATGTAATCGCAAAAAATTTCAACCCGGTTAACAGGGCTGAGTTCAACCCTGGGCCAGTTGAAAATGCTCCATGTAAGCGGCCCCTTAATAGCCAAAGTCAGATGCATGAGATTGACAGCTCTGTATGTACAAATATACCAAATATAGACTATCGTTCTTTAGTTCTTTTATCGACTCTGGTGGAAAAAGGCGGGAAATTGATTTGGTAAACAAGTTCTCTCACTTCCCATTTGCGAAACATCACTTAGGTTATCGATAAACAATTCCTCAGATTCAGTTAAATTTCCTTAAACATTTCGCGTTGTTGGTGAACGAATAGTCTAAATTTAAGAAAAGTTCCTTAAAAGAGAGAACGCTGTTGCTAAATTTTCATCCATCAAAATCACCTGACGTCATTTTTGGCTCGAGTCCTAAATCGAGTCCTGGCTCGAGTCCTAGCTTGAGTCCTGGCTCGAGTCCTGGCTCGAGTCCTGGCTCGAGTCCTGGCTCGAATCCTGACTCGATATTTAGGTACCCTCACTTATGGGACCTGACTGAAAAAATCAAATTATCGTGTAAATTATGTTGTTAATGGTACAGAACTTCAGGAGGGACAAAATGGTTCAATTGACGACAGAACAACGAATATTTATTGTTTTGCATTACAACACGACCCACAGTTTAGTTTCAGTGCAGAACGCATTTCGGGAACGATTTCCAGACCGTAATCCTCCAGCACACACAACAATTCTAAAAAATAGGTACGCAAAGCGTGCATATATCTGCGAAAAAACTTGATTCACATTTTGTATTTCATTTCCTTGAAAAGAACTGAATAATGAAGATGACATGGGACAATTGAAATATTTCATCACTTATATTATAATAAATATAATAGCAAATAAGACTTTAGCGGATGGCAGCAAGGACAACTGCCCTCCCCCCCCCCCCCCCCC